GCAGCCCCAGCCCCAAACGTTTTATCACAGCAGCCAAACCCCTCACGTTCACCCACTCCCTCCGTTTCCCAGTGAGAACCACCGGTGGCTGCAGCCCCCCTGCCACTCACCCCCAGCCACCTGTTGTGCCACAGGTCCCAGCCCTGCCTGTTCTGTGGGTGTCCCCATGCCACAGGCACAGCCCTGCACCCCATTCCCTACCATGTACCTGCCACTGGGTGCCAGGTGCACTGGGAGCCATCCTGGACACCAGGCAGTGGCACCAAGGGGGCTGCAGGGCCATGCCTGGGAACTAGGGGGGTCCAGTGCAGCTCTGGGAGGGGAGGTGGGTTCTGCCCACTCCATGGGGATGGCCACAGTGGCTCCTGGGGCAGGGCCCCCTCAGCCCTTCTCCCCTGGCTGGGTTGGGCACTCCTGGGCACTGTGGGGAGCACCCTGAGGGCACCATGTGCCCCCCAGCCTGGGGTCAGGGGGGCCCAAGCAGCCCCACTCCCCCCTGCATGTTTGGGACAGGGGAACACAGACAGGTCATCCCCCTGCACGCATGGAGAAGGGTCAGACACACAGCAGCCCCCTTTGGTCTGGGGGAAAGCCACAGGCTGCTGAGCCCAGCCAGGAGCTGAGCCTCCAGTTATTTATTTTTACACATTGTACTATGAGTCCTGTTTTCTACTTTGTTTGTACCTTTTGTATCGTGTCTCGCTGAGCTGCATGTATTGGGCGCTGCTCATCGGCCTGCACCCTGGGCCGCTCCAGCACAGCCTGGACCCAAGTGCCAACCTCTCAAAAAATGCCTTAATAAACCACACTTGTTTGTACAGAGCTGGGCATCATCACGGCTGCTCGGGGCAGCTCCGTGGGTGGGGGAGCTGGGACATGTGGGCTGTGCTGGGGCTGCCTCTGGCCCCCAGGCAGCCCTGCTGCCTTCCCCCCAGTTCAGCACGGGGTGCAGGTCCCGCCTCCCCCAGCACAGCCTGATCGAGAGATCACGCTGAAGTGGAGACTATCCAAGGGCTGGAGCAGCTCTGCTCTGGAGACGGGCGGGGGAGCTGGGGTTTTGGCCAGCAGGAAAGACCTTGATGCTGCTGTTCCCCCTGGCACTGCCCAACCTCAGGCAATCCCGGCTGTCCCGAGGAGGGGGCACGTTCACCTCCACCCGCAGGACCAGCACAGCGCGCCCGGGTGGGCAGAGCTGCAGCCAGGGCACCCGGGCTGAAAGCTAGAGCTCTGGTGTCCCCTCCTGCTGCAGAGCAGCTGGTCTGGCTGGCAGCAGATGCTGGTTGGAGCAATTAGCTCTGTCACGGCAACCTAAGCTGTGCTGGCCAAACAGATCCAGGACATAATCTGCAAATCTCATCCCACTTAGAGCCCTGCCCAAAGCAGCTGTACCCAGCAGCTGGTCTGGCTGGCAGCAGATGCTGGTTGGAGCAATTAGCTCTGTCACGGCAACCTAAGCTGTGCTGGCCAAACAGATCCAGGACATAATCTGCAAATCTCATCCCACTTAGAGCCCTGCCCAAAGCAGCTGTACCCGCGGGGGGGGCAGCTCCAGGCAGCGCTCACTGCCCAGCACCCCGGGTCAGCGCCAGACACAGCCCCCGGGCCCCTCCCGCTTGGCAGGGAC